GCTAATCATTATCTGCCCTTTATATGGACTGTTCAGTTGTCTGTTGTTTGCGAAGTCTTGTTTTGCCACGCTGCATGTTGCTGCGCATTCCCTTGGTTCATGTCAGTTATTCCTTGTTTTATTACCTGTTTGAATAAAGTGCTGCAGATGGATTCGACTGCCTCCTCTCATTCATCACATGTATAACACTGATAAAACATTTATCATTTGAAAAATTAAACTGTATAGTTTAAAAGAAAGCACGACCGGGACAGAGATGTAGTCAAGACCACCTTAAAGGCTTCAAGACGAGTGTTTCCAGACCAAAGCAAGAGCAAGACTTTGAGGGGTTGAGACACAGACCAAGGCCAGAGCAGCACTCCTCAAGAGAACTGAAGAAGTTTTTTAATGTAAATTTTTAAATATACATTTTTCGATATAGATATATGATGGTAAAAATTAATTAAATTACACATTTAAATATGATACTAAACCCGCCAGGAGGTAGCAACAAATCATTCAATTAATGAGGCTCTACTCTTCATAACAAAAAACTCAACATCCAAACTGACCATTAAACACTAAAATAGCTATTTTATGCAAAGTCTGCAAAACATAAAATAATTTTTCATATCAACATTTACTCTTATTTTATTGAGTCCACATACATTATCTTTTCTACTACGTCTTAGTACATTTAATGAAGAGTGAAATAGACTTAGTTTTTCACAGTACTATTTTTGTATTGTTTGTGATGGTAAACTACTGGCAACAATGTTGCCAATATATTGCTATTCATTTTATCTTATGTTCAGTGTTCTTTACTGTTCAAATACATTTTGTGGGTGTGTCGTTTTATATTGAACCTTAAAGGTATAGCGGAGGATTTCCTTTTTCCGGGTGGGTAGCCTATACTATTGGTCCACCTAAGTGTCAATAGCCGCATTTCCACTGCCGGGCTAGGGCTGGGCCAGAGTTAACAGGGAGCCGAGTTGAGCTAGTGGCCTCGGGCCTCAAGCACCAGGCTTGCGTTTGCACTGCCGGGCCAGTAGCCCCGCAGCGCTGCCCTAAACCCCGCCCCTAACACGCCTTTCTGGATCAAACGTCATACAACCCAACCCATTTCAGCGGGTATTATGAATTAATTAATTTTTTAAGTTAGGAAGATAGCCTGTATATTAACTCACCGGCCGTTGCTGCAATAGTGTCCCGATAGGGGATTATCACGCTTCCGGGTTTCATGGGCGAGATTTGTCAACTTTGTGCATGTCCACTTCATCGATGTGTTTTGTAACATCCTCGTTTCTTCACACGCCGTCAAATTGACGTCGTACCCTTTCTTCTGCCCAAATGCTCAGAAGAGCTGCTGTATCCTCGACAGACCAGTACAGGCGATTCTCCATTTCAAGCAGAGATTTTTTTTGCGCGACATAAAAAATATTAAATGTGCATCTTGCTTCAGATCATAATGTTCCATAACACCGATAAACTCCGCCTTTTACTTTGAGCACGCCTCTAGCCCAAGCTGGCCCACTTTGGTCCAAGGTATTCGACAGGCCAAAAATCCTGGCCGTTCGCCCCGAACAAGCCTCGATCAACCCCCGGAAGTGACAGTGGAAACGCGACTGGCCCTTGCACGCACTAGCACGGCAGTGGAAACGCGGCTAATCATTCTGGTGATATGTTTATGTAAGGCCGTCGTACGTGCTCATCCCTATGTAGTTTCTGTTGTATTATGTGTGATGAGTTACGGTATCAGCCATTTGTTTGAAAATGGCTGAGGGTCGAAAGAAAAAAAAATGTATAGGAAGTGTATGATAAGAAGAGAAAGGCCGCAGAATATAGAAACAAGGCCAGAGTGATTTTGGGTGAATATTTCACACGCTGGCGTGCGCTAAAAGCACAAAGATGCGAAGATTCTACTAGACAGGTAAAGAAATCCATTTAAAATCACTGCTAGTAAAAGTTAATGTAAGCTATGATTAGCGATGCTAGCCCTGGCACAAGTCATCCATCGCGTAGACACGGTAAACATCTCAATTTGTCTAAAGTAGCCTTATGACCAAATGGTAAATGGTATCACGCGGAAATATTCTAAAACCGTGTGTTCATTTTCGATAATTCCATAGTATTTATTACACTAATGCAACAAGCTACTTCTCCATTGTATATCATGTCTTGAGTCCTCGGTCACTCAATCGATCAGTATAATAAGTAAATAAAGCACGGAAGGGAATTTGACATTTTGTCTTGCATGAATGTTTTTGAGTTTGAGTTAGAGTGTTAACTTGCGCATGTGCATTTTTTTAAAAAAATGGAGAGGGCGGGTCTTCTCTAAAAGTTGGAAAGATCCTCCGCTATACCTTTAAACCCTTTTAACCCCACAGGAGCATCATGTAGTGTCCACACTATAAGGAGTAAAATTAACATTTACGCAGTGTTGCGGTGAGATAATCAAGTCAGGGGTCCTCAACTCTGGACTCCTGCAGAGTGTATCTCAAACCCTAATCATACACACCTGAACAAGCTAATCAAGGTCTTCGTGATTACTACAACGTTACAGGTACAACTTATTTTGGTTTTGGCTCAGTTAATTAAAAAATAATTAGGTTAGATTAATAATTTTTTTACACAAGCAACATACACATCTCTGCTACAAATGACCACTTAAAGTTTTTTTCTAGGACCTACCATTTTCGTACAGTTGGACTGAGAGTGTCAGAAGTGCAAATGTTACAACTTACCCCATATGCGGGGTTAGTTGTAACACACATAATTCAGGACTATTTTATTTGTATAGTTTGATATTGTTTGTGCATCTGACAGATATCCATACATCCATCCCTCATCCAATCATCCTTCTATTGTGGATCAATATCAAGGATAGAGACATAGAAAAGGGCTGCACAGTTTTGCAATAAATAATAATAAATACAATTATAAATATTATTATAATTGCAATTAAATTAGATTTGTGTATGGCAGCTGCATGTACAATTATTATTATTAATAATAATAATCATAATAATAATACAAATGAGCTTAAAATAAAAATTTAAAGGGTTCATTGCATTAAAAACAGGCCATATTTTTAATAAATAAACAAGTTATCATTCATAGTACACTAAATTTTAAACATTTTAAATTCCAACATTGTTTGTGAACGTCCAACAAAGTTAAATGTATACTCAAACCTGAAAAGTTGTGTGGCTCCGTTTTCATTTGATTATCATTGTACACTTGGAGGCTTAGTTGTAACACTGTGTTAAAACTAACCCCGCTGTGTATTACATATTTTAAGCCAAGCTAACAGTCGTTATAGGAATTGCTGACATGTTTCAAAACGGTGCTATGTTTGATCCAACAAGACAGTGATTAAGGCAATATAAAGTTACATTTGGAAACGTATACATCCAACTCAGAAACTGAAAAAAAACCTATGATGAAAAAAATTACTTTCATGGTGTCTTTCACACTCTTTGTCCAGTATCTTCACGAAATATTATCAAAATTTTCCGCAAATTCGCGGGAGACCGTCTTCTGGCAGCAAGAGAAAATTAGCAGAAAGACAGCCTGCTTGATCCTGACGAACTATATAAAAAGTCCGTGTTACATTTAACCCCCCGTTAGGTTGTGCCCCGCGCTCCTCTACTGCAGTGCTTTGTCAATATGTTTATGCGTTACGGTTATGCTAACAAACAACTGACTGGGTCTGTCATCTGACCAATCACCGCTGATTAGCGTCACGCAAAGGAGTGGTTTGGAAAAATGAGTCGTTGTACGAATCATTTGGGAGTCGGTGAGCAAATCAGTTAAAAAATAAATGCATATTATAAGACAAATAAAGTGTTAAACTGTTTTTGGGAACTCCTAAAACAAAAATAGGAACGTTTCAAATGCTATGATAGGGGCTCTTTTAAGAGATGATTGAGCAGATAAATAATGGTGACAATTGGTGCCATGAGTTCCAGCATAGTACAAAACTCCCCGCATGCATTACTGCATGAATTAATAATGCAGCTGAATCGTCTTGTTATTGAGTTTAATTATAAATATTTGCTTTTCTTTTTGTTTTTGTGACGTTTCGTAGTTTTTTTGTTATGATTTTAAAACTGGCAACAGGTAAGCATTATCGCATGCTTTTCAACGTCCTGTCAGCAGCCAAAAAGACAAAACGAAAATCACACACACAAATATATAATAAGAGTTGAGAACCCAACTAATGGATGTTTGATGTTTTTTTTTTGTTTTGTTTTTTTTGTCAAACAAATTTGTAGCAGCAGAGAAACGCTATAGTGAAATGAGATCATGCGATCATCATCCTGCTTGTGAAGTGATGCCAGATGTGAGCCGGTGTTCTGTCGATTTTTGCTGCCTTGTCGAAAAATGCTACCGTAGCGCGAATTGATCACAGAATGCCGATTAAAGTCGTATGAAATACAATTCTAATACAATTCTAAGTTATGAGTAGCTATTGTATACTGTAGACTACTGTTTTTATTTTTAAAACGGTGTGAAAAGTAAAAATTATCATAAAATATTCATCTTTGACTTGTCAAAGTACACCTTTTCTTATAGTAACTGAAACTTTTAGTTATTTATTTTCAGCTGGCTGACCGTACAAATATTCATATGGTAGTAAGCATTTTTTAAAGGGAAATTATACATTATAACAGGAAAATGTACCTTTTGTAAAAAAATTAAAAAAAAAAAAAAAAAAAAAAAAAACTGTGAGTCTGCACATGCGCCTAACCGGTAAGTAGGAAATCTCGATGGGTAGCATGAATTGTCAGAACACCGGATCTGGGCCGTCACAATGTTGTTGTGTGGGTTGAGTCAATTTCTGTGAACTTAGTCTAACAACACAAAGAAATGAAAAGGCAGAAATAACATTTAATCATACTTTTATGCGGACATGCCAAAAACACTACGTCATTAGTTTGAAAAAATGCGCTTTACTTCATTTCTCTGATAAATACTGGCTTCATAGAAAGTGTTCCCGAATTTACTTTTTTCTCCAGTGAAATATTTACAGATCCAAATTAAGATGTTTTCCTGGGTAACCTCCTGCTTGAAGAATACAACAGAAGTGCCTAACCAGAATCAACCCAGTCCAAATAGTTCAGGACAACCAACTGGAAATCATGCAGATGATAAACCCAAGGTAAATATGTGTTGTCTACAACATTACACTGCAAATGCAAACCAGAGACAACTGATAACAGCGGCAACAAGGAACTACAATAAATAACAGTTTCAATTGATTTCATATAATGTTGTGGTTGGAAGTCAGTTGTAGTTCTTGTGTTTCTCGTTCCTTCCGTGATGTTAACAGCAGGTGTTCATCATTAATGCTCAATTAATCACATACTACTCATTACTATTGTTTTTTTAGAAACTTAAATTAATTGAGGCAATCTGTTTCCTCAAATGAAATGAGTTAGCTGAACTAATTGGATTTGACTTTGTGAGTGATATAGCAGTAACTGTAAGTGCTCTGAGTTTGCAATTTCAATAAAGTGAAGTTTCAGCTACATAGAGTATTAAATGCAGTGTAACATTTAATCGTGTTATAAGAAATATTATTGTTTTAGTGAACTTGAATAAAAAAAGTTATGGAGTACGGAGTACATATAAATGAATTAAGGCAATCGGTGTCCTCAAATGAAATTAGTTAGCTCAACTTGTTGGGTTTTACAATACACTTTTCCTTTCAGACGAGTTTTGTGTTTAAGTTGCAGAAATCTGTCAGCCTGAGCACCGCTGGTCACTCCAGGCCAAATGTCAAGGATGCAAAGGTCCTGGTCATAAACACCGGAGGAACCATTGGTATGATGGAACATGAAAACGGTAAACACCATCAGCAGCACTCACACACCTTCACATATGATATATAAATTAATATCTTAATATACAACATGAGATACCCCCCCCCCCCCCAAAAAAAAAAAAAAAAACTGCTATTCTACGCTATATTACTGTTTTAATGGAAAGTGCTACACTGTAAAAAAATATTGATGGTTTAACTTAAAAAAGTAAGTAACCTGGTTGCCTTAAAATTTTAAGTTCATTGAACTGGAAAAAGTGAGTTAATACAATGAAGGAGATTGATTTAGTCATCAGAAACTCAAAATTATATGTTATCTGAACTAAATAAATTATTTAAGTTGATTTGACAAAAGAAAAAATGTTGTGATTACTACACTGTAAAAAAAATATTGTTGGTTTAACTTAAAAAAGTAAGTAACCTGGTGGCCTTAAAATTTTTAAGTTGATTGAACTGGAAAAAGTGAGTTAATACAATGAAGGAGATTGATTTAGTCATCAGAAACTCAAAATAATAAGGTATCTCAACCAAATAAATGATTTGACAAAAGAAAATATGTTGTGATAACAAATCTTGAAAATATTTTTTACAGTGTCAGAATTTGACCGTTTTTTATAACAAGGTTTTACAGTGATGTTAATTTGTTCACAACGTTTTACAGGCTTTTCTTCTATATTTGCAGTTTTGTCTCCAGAGGCTAATGTTTTTGTTAAAACTCTACGCAAACTCTCTATTCTGCATGATAAGCAGTACGCACAACAAAAGAGACTGAAAAAGGAAATGCTGGTGCTGCCGTAAGTTCTTACGCAGATGCACACCAACTTATGCCATCAAGTTTGGAGGTGTTGCCTATTTATATTTTTGTATACAAGAATCGTTGATTTCTACTTGTATTATAGTTTTAATGGAGTTCTGTCATTATTTACTGGCCCTCAAATTTGTTGGGTATTTAATTTTAAAGACGGTGCACTCTTTTATAATATAAATCAAAATTAATAATTATTAACTAAACATTAAATAAGACATTTTTGAAACTGTCTTAAAGGAGGAGGATGCAGAATAGACTTAAATTAAATGCTTCTTTATTGCATGTAAAAATAGAAAAAAACATTATTTTATTAATTGTAGTAATATTTCACAAAATATGTCTGTATTTTACAAAATGTCTGTATTTTGATCGAGTAAATGCAGGCTTGATGATCATAAGATACTTTTTTCAAAAACATAAAAAATCCAAGACCGGTTTGTACTGATATGTCCCTCACCCTCACCAGACAGTCCAAACAGAAGAAGAGGATTGAATATACGGTTTTAGAGTACTCCCCCCTCCTTGACTCCAGTAATATGGGTAAAGACGACTGGGCCCGTATCGCAAAAGACATTGAGGTACTTCTTTTTCAACGATCTTTTATGTGTGGCTTTTTGCATTCTTTGTTTTTCTCTGGGTTGCGAACGCGACCGAAATGGAAATGTTGTTGAGTAGAAGTTAGACATAACTGCAAAAAAAAAACTTTTGTGAACAGAATTGATCTGATAAATTGTTTCATTCTTAAATTTAGTTTTATTTATTCACTTTTTCCTTCAAAAAATGAACTTTTTTAAATTTATAATCATAGGTTATAGATCAGTGAACGGGTCAGCAATTTTTAAAATTTATGTCAAAAATCATTACTGAGATTTGGAAAGGTTTTTCCCTCGTGTTCACAGGAAAACTATGATCGATATGATGGTTTTGTCGTCCTGCATGGTACAGACACCATGGCTTACACCACTTCTGCCTTATCCTTCATGTGTGAGAATCTGGGAAAGCCTGTCATCTTCACTGGCTCACAGGTAACACATTTTAAATGGTATTATTAATGCATTAATTAAATGTATTAATGCATTAATACTCACCTTTGTGTTGCACAAATAGAGTCAAGTCACCTTTATTTATACAGTCCTTTTTACAAAACAGATAAAGCAGTTTTACAGAGATAACAGGATAATAATGCAACAGATTTTGTAGAAAATAGCGTCACATTCCAGCTTAAGTAAGCTCAATGATGATTCATTTTGTTGTAAAATAAAGAAAAGAAAAAAAGATTAATTTAGTTCATGTATATATAGAGAGCTCTTATCATTAAATATATAATGAGACCACCTGAACGAGGTGAAAATGAACCTTGGGGCAGTTCGGTTCAAATGTGAACAAGAGCAATATGACCCAACAAACCAATGAAGCAAGCGGTATCATAATTAATAACAGGGAATGAGTTAAATATAAAGCAGCAGTGTCAGATTGAGTGAGCACATTAGTTATCATATTTGAAAACCAAATAGTGCCTCTTTATCTTAAAATGTTGTAATTGCAATCGCAATCACATTTTGTGGTGTAAATTTGCGGTAATTAACTGGCGGCAAATTTACCTGCAATGTATGGTTTTATTTTTTTAAACCTTTTTTTTGTATATGCGGATTCTTGATGTCTCTGTGTGCGTCTAAAATGACTTTTCCCACAATTGAAAAAAAAAAGAAATCTGAATTCAGAATGTCTGATCTGTGGCAAAAAAAGTAATATTGGGAAAACAAAACATCTATTACTAACGAAAAACAATTTACGTCAGAGAGAGGATTAAGTGAATTATTTCACTTTATGATGCTGAGAACTTTATCAACTGATCATCTTTGTTTCTGACTTCCTTTGCAACAAATTATGTGTTTTTGTAAACACTGTTACAAATACTACAAACTCACATAAGAAATGAAGAGCCAAACTGCCCAACTAAAGGAAATACTGGGCCCGTATTCATAGAGTCTAAGAATCCTCACAGAAAACTCTTAATTTAGCCTAAAAACTTTTACGTAGGAGTCTTAGCTTAAGAGCGATTCGGGACTGATCTGAGGGCAACTCCGAGTAAGGAAAATATATTTCATTTTAGTAAGTAGGCGGGGCTGAGCCCGTTGCTATGTATAACACACTCTTTTGAAGACTGTGATTGGTTGGTTGTCCAAGAAGGGGAAAAAAAGAGCAATTTTAAGTAGCTTATAGAGTTCACTCATACATACACACACACACATTATATACATTATGTATATGAAGAGTTCAGATGCAAAAGCCTCTAAATGCCATTTGAAATTTTCTTCTTTAATGATGATTTTTATCAAACTTGTATATTTAAGTTCAGTAATTTCACTTAAATGGCAATGATAATTACCTATTAATTGTTATTTAAGTGAAATTACTGAACTTAAATATACAAGATTGCTAAAAATCATCATTAAAGAAGAAAATTTCAAATGGCATTTAGAGGCTTTTGCATCTGAACTCTTCATATATAAATCCTTTTTTAAATCCTTTTATTAAAAAAAATGGTCTTTCCACTCTTTCCAATTACACTGATTGCTGTCTATTTAAGTGCTGGAAATCACCTGAAGACATTAAATCTTAAGATCTCAGCAGAGGTGGATTAAACAACTCCACAAACAACATTACCAGCTTCACTTATTACTAACCAGACTGACTTATCTTAACAAGATGGATTGATTAATAAGACATTGAGCTCTTAATGAGAATTAACAAGGATTTAACTCTGTTTCATTTGAAGTCACCATAACAATGATTAGTGTGTCCCATAGTTGTGCTCTTAACTCTGATTATGTGTTTTGTCCTTTTTGGCTGCTGTGACAGTGTGTGTCAATCTTTCTTCAGTGTGTAATAAATGAGTGGTTTGCGTCTGGAAGCTTTAGTTTATATAGCTTTGAATCTCTATTTACTATCATTAATTGTTGTTTGTGTTGTTAAATATAACTAACTCATCCATCCCCATTTATCAAAAAATTGTATAATATTGTGTATCACATTAATTTGACATTGCTAGCACAATACGCTAGCATTTCGCTAGCCTGTTAACCTGACATCCATGTTTTTACCGTGCACGCTTTTTCTGATTCCATCCAACGACTGTGGTGAGAAGCATCACTCAACAAAGACATTGAGTGATGTCTTCTCCTCTTATTGTCACTTGTACTGCCTGCTACTAGTGATGGCAGTCTGATACTGAAAGCTTTGATACGTGCTGCAAACCATTAACTACAATTCCATTTGAACCACTGCTCCGAAGGTTGCTTTGGTAGGGTAAAATCACGTGACATGGGACGTCCGAAGCAGCAACTAGTCAGTTCTGCCACTGCAACTGCTACATTGGACGTACAGGTACATGACTGATCCACTGCGGGAAAGATCTGAAGATAACCAGATAAACTTGCTTTACGTCAAGCGTTACAATAGTAATGTAGGATAGTAATCCTAGATATCAGCATAGCCTATGAATCTCAACAATGGTGACCATTAGAAAGCATGTTGCTGTCTGGGTGGCAAAAATCAAACTGCCAATGAAAATTTTTAAAAGCATTGTAGAACGCCTTTTAAATCGACCTCCAATATTGAAATTTAACAAGTGGTCATCAAAAAAGTATCATGTTAACTCACTATTAGCTTCCCAACCATCGTGTATGTTGCAGGTGCCCATCTTTGAGACGAGGAATGATGGGAGGGAGAACCTCTTGGGGGCGCTGTTGATAGCAGGAGAGTTTGTCATCCCTGAGGTGAGTTTTGATTTCAATCTTCTGTGAGTGATGCCTTTATTAATAAGTTTAAGCATTTACAACTATTTAAATGGGTCATACGACGATTCTAAAAAGAACGCAATTTTGTGTATTTGGTTTAATGCAATGTGTTACGCAGTTTTAGGTCTTTTTCTTTCTTTTTTTAGCTTTTTTCAAATCGCTATGATTATTTTACACATACCGTACATTAGTTTAGTTTATTTCTTTATTTGACCAGGTACAAAGCACAAAAAACATTAGTCTAAAAAAAGAAGAGATATCATGTGCCAGGTTATAGCAAAAAACAACAACTAATTTCCACCTGCTGCCCCCATATAATTTATAATTCTATAAAAAATAATAATAATTATAGAATTATAATTCTATAATTATTAGTATTTTTATATATTAAAAAAATAAATTGAGTTATGGACATGAAAAATATCCCTTTGTGTGTTTCTTTCACAGGTTTGCCTGTATTTTCACCATAAGCTCTACAGGGGCAATCGTGTCACCAAAGTGGACTCTGGAAGCTTTAAAGCATTTAATTCACCAAACCTGCCGCCGTTAGCCATCGCTGAAGTCGACATCAAAGGTGATTCCTGTTCTGATATCATTCATCATAGTTCCAAACCTATATGAACTAGTTTTTTTCTACTGAACACAAAATAGAGATATTATGAAGAATATGGGTGACCAAACAGTTAATGGTTTCATACATTGACTTCAGACATTCTTTAACATTCGTTTGTTTTGTAGCGGAAGAAAGAAAATTATCGCAGAATTTTCCTTTTTTGGTGAACTATCCATTTAAGCTCCAAAAAGGATGCCATAACATTATTAAAGTATCGTACCCTAAAATGTCTATGTAGTTTTTAATAAATTTGATTTCAAATTTAATGTTTAGGACATCAAGGTAAACTAAATGAAAATGAGAAATGCTGCCTTGGCAATTCATCAATTTTACGTTATTTCAGTTAAAGTTTTTTTTTTTTTTAAATCATTTGCTGTTCACTTTTAAGGAACAAACCGACTTTTGGGGACTTTAGCTTATTCACCATATCCCCCAGAGTTAGATAAGTCCATACATACCCTTTTCATCTCTGTGTGTGCTGTAACTCTGTCTGACGCACCCACCGCTAGCCTAGCTTAGCACAAAGACTGAAAGTAAATGGCTTCAGCTAGCATACTAATCCCAATAAGTGACAAAATAAAACCAACATTTTCCTATTTATACGTTGTGATTTGTATCACAGCATGTACAAATAACAAGGTCATATGAGACACAGGCATCTTTTAAACGTATAACTGGGAACTATATTCTCAGATGGGTGCGTCAGACAGAGTTGAAACACGCACGGAGATGAAAAGGGTATGGATTTATCTAACTCTAGGGGATACGGTGAGTCCCAAAAAGTCGGCATGTTCCTTTAATAATCACGTGGTGAGAATTGCAAAGTACAAATATTAGTCTTGTGTACTTTTAAAATTAATTTCAGTTCTTTCAAAACGGCACATGTACTAACAATGCACAAATTATTATGAAGAAAGTTAAATTGTTGATAATATATGCCACAATGTCACATTGCAGGACACTGCTTGAAATTGAATGTCAACTTCCTTAGTGATGATGCAGTGTTATTATTTTATTCAGATGTGTTATTTTGAGTATTATGTTTTTATTTCTTACTCTTTAGTTAACTGGGACACTGTGGCGCGAGCCAATCCAAACGCCAAATTCACTGTCAACACACAATGGAACAGTAACGTGGGTCTCCTGCGACTCTTCCCAGGAATCACTGCCAATACAGTAAGGCTGCGGCGTGTGCTAATATCTGCCTTTATTTTTGACAAATCTCTTCATTCACTGCATGAACATGTTCATTATTTTAGTAAATGGCAGAAGTTACATTTTTGGCAGATCTTTGAGATCCATTTTCTGATCAGGTCAAGGCCTTCTTAGAGCCGATGGACGGGATCGTGTTGGAGACTTACGGCAGCGGTAACGCCCCTAACAACCGCGCTGACCTGCTGGATGAGATCCGTAAAGCGACCGAGAGAGGAGTCATCATGATCAACTGCACCCAGTGCCTGCAGGGCACGGTCACGACCACATACGCCACCGGACAGGTATGGGAGTTTGCTTAAAGGCACAATATGACAGATTGTTTGATAAAAAAGCATCCAAACAACAATTTTACATATTTTATATACTTGTGTACTTAATTTGAGTGATGATTGACCATTATTGAAGATACTTGATATTTACCTTAAGAATCAGTCAATGTGCCTGTAAAGGGGTGGTATAATGCCCCCTGGGGGCGGGGTTTATGTAAATGTTAGGGTTTATGATGTCACTAACCCTGTAGGAATGTTGTGTAGTTCCTACCAGCCGTTTGTTGTAGTCCTTAAAAAGCCATTTCTTTAATATAAAATATCTCCTTTTGCTTTGAACTTTGACTGTCATAACTTTGCAGTTGTTAATGCTCAAACAGCAACATTACACACTAACTAAAGATAGAAAAGTGAAATCATAAATCAAACACCCGTTTAAAAGCCTTATGTGTGTGTGTAGGCTCTGCATGAAGCCGGTGTGGTCGCTGGGTGTGATATGACCGCAGAAGCTGCTTTTTCAAAACTCTCCTATGTGCTGGCAAAACAAGGCCTCAGTACAGAAGAGAAGAAGGAGGTATGGAAAAAAGGTCTCTTAAAAATACATTTAAACCACATTTGACGCCAAACTTTTGAAAAACAAAATCAAATTTAAAATACAAATGTCAAGTTCTTAACCATACTCCTTTTTTTCTTTCTTTTTTTTAAATTACATGATTTAATTAATTCAGGCATCACACAGTAATAATTAAATTTGTAAATGTTAATAATGAAATAATAATTATTACTTTTTTTAAATCACTTAATAATAAAACATGTCATTTGTCCATAAGATGCTGATGCGCAATCTACGTGGTGAGATGACACCTGACCTGGCTGACAGTCATTGTGTAGAGGTCATCGCCCAGAACCTCAGTATTAGCCGTAAAAAGGTAATGTAACCTGCACTTTCTCTGTTTCTAACTTTATTTTGCACTTTAAACAAAAAAGGGGTGTACGATTATTAATACGAAAAAAATTTATTCCATTTTTTTCTGGGGATTTTGCAGATAACTGAAATCAGATTATTTTTAGTTGAGAGAAAATGCTGTGTGTAACGTGTGTTTATATGTACAGGGTGTTCTGACCAGCGCGGTTCCCACAGACGGTCTGGCCGAGGCCGACAGGTTGACTCTGGGTCAGGTGAAGGTGTGGGGTGTAACAGCGCCCGTCACTCGTGTTACACTGAGCGTGACTGGACAGCCTGACGCCGACCTGCCATTCACATACAACGCTGAGGTCAGACGCTAATGCAAACATTTACTTCAGTTTCATACTGTCAGAAACACTGATATAAGGACAACAAGATGGAATCTACGCTGCAAAAAATTGTGTAAAAAAAAGTGCTACATTTTGACAGTAATATGCTGTTTTCCATTAAGCAATATACCATAGAAAACAATGCACTCTTGGTGATATTTGAAAGCAGCCTATATCAATATACTGTAAATTGCCAGCTCAAAGTTTACACTCAGACTCTGTGTTCTAAATCACCCCCTATAATCTCATTCCCCTACATTAGTTCACTAATATAGACTACTTGACTGAGTGAATAAAAACAAGTGAGTTAATTGAGAGACTGATGAACACCTGCTGTTAACAATCAGAATCAATGAAGGAAAGAGGAACAAGAAGAACAGTACAAATATGAAATCAACTGAAGATAAAAGCTGGTAATGCTGTTTTTGGAGTTGTTTAATCCTCCTCTGCTGAGATCTTGAGAGATTTAATGTCTTCTGTGACTTTTTTCTGTTCTTGTTGTTCCTCTGTCCTTCAGTGATTCTGCTTGTTAACCCTCTGGGGTCGGCAAACGCGCTGGAACATTTTGCTAGATTTTTTTCATAAAGCAATCTGTTTCCCAATTGATATTAGTTATCCTCAATGGTATAATTACGGTAACATACCGTAAAAATGTGCTCGATTTTTTTCATAAAGCAATCTGTTTCCCAATTGATATTAGTTATCCTCAATGGTATAATTACGGTAACATACCGTAAAAATGTGCTCGATTTTTTTCATAAAGCAATCTGTTTCCCAATTGATATTAGTTATCCTCAATGGTATAATTACGGTAACATACCGTAAAAATGTGCTCGATTTTTTTCATAAAGCAATCTGTTTCCCAATTGATATTAGTTATCCTCAATGGTATAATTACGGTAACATACCGTAAAAATGTGCTCGATTTTTTTTCATAAAGCAATCTGTTTCCCAATTGATATTAGTTATCCTCAATGGTATAATTACGGTAACATACCGTAAAAATGTGCTCGATTTTTTTCATAAAGCAATCTGTTTCCCAATTGATATTAGTTATCCTCAATGGTATAATTACGGTAACATACCGTAAAAATGTGCTCGATTTTTTCATAAAGCAATCTGTTTCCCAATTGATATTAGTTATCCTCAATGGTATAATTACGGTAACATACCGTTAAAAATGTGCTCGATTTTTTTCATAAAGCAATCTGTTTCCCAATTGATATTAGTTATCCTCAATGGTATAATTACGGTAACATACCGTAAAAATGTGCTCGATTTTTTTCATAAAGAAATCTGTTTCCCAATTGATATTAGTTATCCTCAATGGTATAATTACGGTAACATACCGTTAAAAATGTGCTCGATTTTTTTCATAAAGCAATCTGTTTCCCCAATTGATATTAGTTATCCTCAATGGTATAATTACGGTAACATACCGTAAAAATGTGCTCGATTTTTTCATAAAGCAATCTGTTTCCCCAATTGATATTAGTTATCCTCAATGGTATAATTACGGTAACATACCGTAAAAATGTGCTCGATTTTTTCATAAAGCAATCTGTTTCCCAATTGATATTAGTTATCCTCAATGGTATAATTACGGTAACATACCGTAAAAATGTGCTCGATTTTTTCATAAAGCAATCTGTTTCCCAATTGATATTAGTTATCCTCAATGGTATAATTACGGTAACATACCGTAAAAATGTGCTCGATTTTTTCATAAAGCAATGTTTCCCAATTGATATTAGTTATCCTCAATGGTATAATTACGGTAACATACCGTAAAAATGTGCTCGATTTTTTTCATAAAGCAATCTGTTTCCCAATTGATATTAGTTATCCTCAATGGTATAATTACGGTAACATACCGTAAAAATGTGCTCGATTTTTTTCATAAAGCAATCTGTTTCCCAATTGATATTAGTTATCCTCAATGGTATAATTACGGTAACATACCGTAAAAATGTGCTCGATTTTTTCATAAAGCAATCTGTTTCCCAATTGATATTAGTTATCCTCAATGGTATAATTACGGTAACATACCGTAAAAATGTGCTCGATTTTTTTCATAAAGCAATGTTTCCCAATTGATATTAGTTATCCTCAATGGTATAATTACGGTAACATACCGTAAAAATGTGCTCGATTTTTTTCATAAAGCAATCTGTTTCCCAATTGATATTAGTTATCCTCAATGGTATAATTACGGTAACATACCGTAAAAATGTGCTCGATTTTTTTCATAAAGAAATCTGTTTCCCAATTGATATTAGTTATCCTCAATGGTATAATTACGGTAACATACCGTAAAAATGTGCTCGATTTTTTTCATAAAGCAATGTTTCCCAATTGATATTAGTTATCCTCAATGGTATAATTACGGTAACATACCGTAAAAATGTGCTCGATTTTTTTCATAAAGCAATCTGTTTCCCAATTGATATTAGTTATCCTCAATGGTATAATTACGGTAACATACCGTTAAAAATGTGCTCGATTTTTTTCATAAAGCAATCTGTTTCCCCAATTGATATTAGTTATCCTCAATTGTATAATTAAGGTAACATACCGTAAAAATGTGCTCGATTTTTTTCATAAAGCAATCTGTTTCCCAATTGATATTAGTTATCCTCAATGGTATAATTACGGTAACATACCGTAAAAATGTGCTCGATTTTTTTCATAAAGAAATCTGTTTCCCAATTGATATTAGTTATCCTCAATGGTATAATTACGGTAACATACCGTAAAAATGTGCTCGATTTTTTCATAAAGCAATCTGTTTCCCAATTGATATTAGTTATCCTCAATGGTATAATTACGGTAACATACCGTTAAAAATTGCTCGAGCACCTGCCCTTTTGCCCCTTGGTGCCCAAAGTGCCCTTTTGTCAAGACAAAATTTCCTCATCTTTTTTTGTATTTAAAGGCACTTTTGTGGATTCCTGCCCCATCTAACTAGTAGTAAAATGAATGAATAATAATTTAGCCGTAAATAAAATGACCCACATGATGACCTTTCACCTGACGAACTCATCCGGGATGAATCCTCACGCTGCACACACATTTTTTAATTTCGCGCATTCCCAGAGGATATCTTCAACTCTTGCGGCTGCTGGTAAGTGGTGTTTTATTCTCAGCGAAGTGATTTTGATGTTTGTTTACTTATTATTATTTTACTAGAATGACGTGAAGAGAGCATGGAGAGAGATGTTGTTTGTATTGCTGTGTGTAGGCTGTATAGAAGTAACGTTAGCTTGCTGTTTGAGGGAGAAAAGTTTCACGGGCGTTGAGGGGTGTTATTTGACTAAAAACTATTATTTTTTACTTTAAACTATTATTATTATTACAGTATTTATAAAAAAAAAACGTGGAGTGCCATAAAAATTATTATCACAACTCTGGTAAGTTATCACATAGGCTTACCAGTTAGTATCTTATGTTTTGTGTGCAGAAGCCTCTGTGAACATCTCCCCTAGTTACGTTACTATTATATACTATTATTGTATTTTTATACTATAGCAGCCTGGGCAGAATCTGTAGCTTTAGCAGGTCAGTGAACTAGTGAGCCAGTTCCAAACACTGTCAGCAATCTTTACATCTTGTCATAGTCACATAAAAATGGTTTAATCAGTTAATACCCTATATCTCTGTTTATTTTAATGTCTACAGTCTCAGATCTACTCCAGCAGTATCAGTAACAACAACAACAACAACATCAACAACAGCAAAGGCAGCAAACTCACTCAAGGACTTTAGTAAGAATTTACCAGAACAGGTATCACATTAATGTTAAAAATCTGGTAAAGTATTAATTGCTGTTTGTTTGCTTTGTTTTTATTTTCATTGTATAAAATGTAACTTTTGTAAATCAGTTTTTGCCATGAAAATAGCCACAGACGCTGATATGCCATTAAATAAAACTATACTGTACTGCACGAAACATGGGCCAGGTTGATTTTGTCCTATACAGTTCACTATAACAGCTGTTCTTTATTATTCTGTATAACAGAGAAGAAAACGGCCCTGTTGGTGGCAATTACAGCTGCCATTAGATTACTGTTTAAATCTGGTTAGTAATAAGTAAAGCTGGTTTTGCAGTCTGGTGCTTATTCCAAGCAATATTAACGTCTGTTTGACGCTGGAGATTTACGTCAAACCAACATTGGATTTAGACGTCAACCCAACTTTCATTTTCAGACAAAATATGACGTCTGACTGATGTTGGATTATTTGGAGTCCAACACCTTCCTGACATCACATTGATGTATTGTGGTTGTTGGGTAGTTTATCTTTAAAGCAACACCATGGAGCTTTTCCTCTTCGGTCGCCCTACTGGTTGGAAAAGATATTGTACATTACCGCAGTTAATAATTTAGCCTACCGTTGCACACACGCTCGCTATTAATCCAGCACCGGCTTTAGAATGAATGATGTCCACAGACAAGGTAGAGTATGTGTAACCCCTCACACCCGGGTCCTACTCGCCCCGCTCCGAGCGGGCCTCGAACCCGGGTCTCCGGCGTGAGAGTCGGGCGCTCTAGCAAGGAGGCTAAAGACTGCAGCCTCTAGTATCTGTCGCTAGAGCGCTTATTGAGATCGGGGAGTGAGGTTTACTCGCACAGCAACTACTAGC